CATGCATATCCAATCGTTTTTATGGGTTCATTAAGACAAGCTTTAATAGAAGCTTTAAGTCCGAAGCAAATGAGTGAAGTAAAAAACAAAATATTTTATTCAATTTGAATTTTTTTTTCTTGTTTTCTTTTTTGTTTAATTGTTATTATGATTAGCGTCGTCCGTTCCTGATCTATGTGAATAATGATAAAAGTATTTATACAAATTTATTTTGTAAACAACTTTTATGTAATGAAAAGATTATTGAATATTTAATGAATAATTATGTTCTTTGGGCATGGGATGTTACATTTAAATCAAATGAACAAAAGTAAGAAGGAAAAAACAAAGCATGTTTCGATACAAAAGTAATCATCATAAATCCAAAATCCGATAAGATATAGAATTTATAAGAGTATCATGTTCGAGAGCAAAAATTGACTTAAAGTTTTTTCTTTGATTGCACAAAATGTGAAAAATAAATGTTTTTCTCCAGGTGTGTCGCACAACAGTGTAATATAGGACAAAAAAAAACAAATAAAGGAAGTGGTATCTTTTACATGGGTTATATTCCTTTTGTTGGTTTTTCTTCTATTTAATTATCTTTGTTAATTGTGAGTGGTATGACGATATGAGATAACACAAGCCGACGTTGGACTCTTTCCAGTGTCAACAAAAATAAAAACTAATAATGATTTTTAGAACAGGATCACTTTCACGTAGAATATACAATAAAACGATTAGTATTTATAGATTTTGATTATCAAAAATTGTTTTCTTTTTATTGCAAACAAGCTTGATTTTCGAAAATGACATGCAAAAAGACACTGGAAACACTATCTTTCATCGGAAAAAACCTTTCGAGAAAATTTTACATCGTAATATTTTACAGATAAAAAGCTAAAGGGTAGTAGAGCGAAAATTTTAATCAGAGATATGTTTCAATCAAATGCCGAGTTTTCGATGTATTTTTTGCATACTAATTTCGAAAATGATGCTTATTTTCAATAAAAAAAAACAATTTTTGATAATCAAAAAATCTATAGATACTAGTCTTGCGTTTTGGTATTTTGCGTATAAGTAACTCTGTTGTAAAAATTATAGCTTTTGTTTTACTAACACTGACAAAGTTCAAGGTTTGAATCAGAATTTTTGATATCATAATACCATCCGTTATACAAAAAATAATGGAACAAAATATTCTTTTATTCCGATCGACTGTATAAAACTACATTGATGATAAAAAATTTCACTTTTTATCAATGAATCATTGCAAAAATGAGATCAGTTCTGTTCCGAAAAAAATACGAACTGATTTTATCCCTAAATCATTGTGAAATTATAGGTTAAACAATCTTTCTGATATACTAAAAATTAAGTGCGTAACTGAGTACTTTTAATGGTAGTAGGCGGTACTCATTAATAAAGTAATTGTTTAACATGATTGTATTTTGATTTTCTAAAGAATCTTCACTGAATACTTGGTCATTATTCATGCAACTATAGATGGGATATAAGTCGTAATACAATATTCGTTGAACATGATTCTTTTCCTAAAGTATTGATATTTTTTGGCTAAGACTCAGAGAGTTCAAAGTCTGCTTTAGTTATCTTATATCTTCAGGACACACACAACAAAAATAACAACACCAACAAATAGCGGGAAGCGGGAGAGAGTATAAATGTCAATTCTTTTTATAGCAAATGAAAACTTTTAAAAAAAAGAAATGATAATCTTTACGAAGACTATAGAATAAAAAGTTATGAATGTTGTTCTTTTTGGAATATAGCTTGGTATGTCCATGGATGCAAAATCTTCGAAAAAATTTTTTATTGTCTATGAGAGTTCATAGAACTTTCTCTATTGAACATTTTGATTAAAAAGTTTGATAAATGTAATATAAAAATGATTTTGAGTTCGATCAAAGTACTAACAAGCTCAAATAGATCTGTCTGCTAGATCTATGATGTTTTTCAGTAATTTAACTAAAAAATCATGATTTTTAAATTAAATTTTAAAATTTTTTTCTCACCGAACTGTACAGCGAAGAATTTTGATACGTAAAAAAAAACATTTTCTGAACGTCTGTTATTTTTATGGTTGATTATTGATGAAAATATTAAAGTATATTCTGAAAATTTTTCAAAAGAATATTCATAAATCCTCCTGAACATTATTCGTTGCACTTATAAATTTGTTTTTACAAGAGGTTTTTATTTTCTTTACAATATATTAGTTTTATTTTTTGTATGAGATTACAGAGTTACATTGTCGCAAAAATATTTTTTACAGACTCAATATTTGCTTAGGTGAACAGAATTCTATCTTCGAGGATGAGTATTTGAAATCAGAAACGGAAGGCAGGAAGGAAAGAGTATCCTTGAAAATCTAAAACATATTGCTTATTTTACCAAGATGTCTGATGAATTCAATTATACGCTTTTTTTTTCTTATTTTATGTTTTTCCCCGTTGTCATCAATGACACATAAAATAAACAATATTTAGATGTATTCTTTGTTAGTCACATTTTGTTTTCGACAATCTAAGAAAAAAGAAGAATCATAAGTATGATGATTAACTTGAATTTAAAAATATTCATTAAAACATATTTAGTATTTAATCACAAGACATTATGATAACAATCTACTTCATCATAGATGAAAAAAGAAATATCATATTGGATTCACAATAGATTTTTGTTTTTTGGTAAGAAGAAAAATTTTTATTTTTCATCTTCTGATATTTCTACTTCTATAATCAACACCATAATCTTCATAGTCATGTCAATTAATGGGAAACATGCAGGAAATAGAAATTTATTTTGACATAATAAATACATCTTAGACTTAGAGAGAAGATTTTCCAAATGTTATTCAAGACACTCAAAAGGATAAAATCTTTCGAAAATCTTTTATCATTTCATAAGAGACCTGTGGCTAGACTTCAGAAGTTCTTAGCAGATATGTTAACAGTGTTCATTCCACTTAAGCAAACAAATAACCATGATGATATTGTGATTTGTGTGAAATTATGTTAGAGCCTCGACACTATCTAATTATAGATTAGCTTTTCTGAGTTATTGAAATCTCATTTATCATGATAATAAAGTAAAATACAGTAGTTGCAGAAAGTTCTGCTATCAGGTGGAAAGTACCTAAATTTTAATATTTTTGTCTAATAGTTTGATCACAAGTAGAGCATGTTGAACTCTGATCGTAGAAACTAATTAGGACTTAATTTACTTTCATACGAAGGAGCTAGAAGATCAACATAGATTTTTTTTTCTTTAGATGAGAATATCTCAACATAGAGAATAAACCTCATGACATGGGACTCCGTATTCAAGATCTCAGTGTTGTCGTTATCATCAATAAAAGTTGCCTTATAAACAGTTTTAGTGTGTTAGTTAAATTAAACCATTATCCTATAAATTTTCTTCAATGAGTACCTGTTCTAGTCACGTTTTCCCTCAAAGTCTCATGATAGCAGCCGTTGATATAGAAGAAATTTACGCTAAGACCGTCTCAGACAATGAAGGCGTTCCTGCACCTCATGACTACAGCGAATTGGAGTATCTTATCTGTTACACAATATAAGCATATGAATCTTTATTTATTAATAAGAAAATAGAGGTTAAAGCATTTAAATAATCGCAAACGAGAAAAGTGTCCAAAAAGCCTGTTTTAGACAAGAGAAAAAAGAGCCCGTGTTTTCATAGTAAATCTTTTGCATTAAGGTCTATCAATTTCGAGTTGCCACTTGCGATCAGTGTTTACCTAACTCTATTTGTAATCAAAATATCAGGCAAAAGCATTGAAATTCATGCACTTTTTACCTGGTATCGAAGTTTCTTGCAACTACTGCATGTGCATAGGTACGTTGATGAATAGACAGGAAGAACTCAGTGTGTCATATCGACTCTCTATCGAGAACTACACAGTTGCGATTATTTCTGAAATCTGTCAGTTTAAAAAAAAAACCATAGGCATATAGAAATCATCTTGAATAACACTGAAAATTCATATTCATGGTCGAAGAGATACATTGTTTTCTTTTTCATTATAGAAAAACTAAAAAAAAAAAAATATTTTAAACATTTCATTGGGTTAAAATATCGTTTTTGCCTTTTATAAGGTTAAACGACATATGTAGCACTATTTTTCGACCATGGACCAATGAAAAACAATTCAACGCAAGTTTAATTGATCAATATCCATTATTAATTGGTGTTTATCGTGATATAGACGGCGAATATTTATTCAGTCGTTTAATCGAAGGTTCAAATAAAAAACTTAGTATTGATGAATTTCTGTCATGTTTAACACAATTTAAAGATAAATTTTTTTCAAGTGAACAACGATATGAAAAAGCAAAAGTAAAATTTCACTTTTCTTCATTTCTTTTTGTTTGAAACAATCAAACAAATAAAAAAATAAAAAGCCACTTATCATTCTTTTTCATTCGTAGGAAGAAGCAAAACAACAAGCATTACAAAGTTTATTTCAAACTCGCAATATTCATCATCGATCAAAGCATGCTCATGATCGTGAATATATTCGTTCCGCATCAATGTTTGCTCATGACAGTCTCAAGGACAATCCATATTTACGTCATCCTAAATATTCTCGATTATTAAGTACTGATATGGGTGTGAAATTTAATCCAGATGAAATGTTTTCCACTAATCCTCCAACTAGAGAAGATATGATGCGCGCATTGGAACGACTTCGTGTAGATTCTGATGATGCTGATGATGAAGATGATGAGCGAACACCAACTGTTGAACGTCCAGCACCAAAATTCCCATAATATATATTTTAGTACTTTCTAAATGACAGTATGTTTTGATACATATTTATATCTTTTCATGTGATAATATTTTCTTGCTAACCATTCGTTTTTTTCTTAATGAACTAACTTTGATTTTTTAAAAATATCTTAATATTCAATAATGAACATATAAATCGATCTCTATTTTTAGATTTATTATTTTTAATTATTTTCCTTAAAAATTTCAATATGAGTAGTGAAAGACGTGAACAAATTTTGGCTGATTTTATAGTAAAGTTTTTTCTATAATTAATAAAATATTTTTGTTTTAATAAATATTTATAATTCGTTTATAGGAATGTACAGGATTGGAAAATGAAGAAGAATGTATTGCTATTCTTGAACAATATCAATGGAATTTATTGGTAAATATATTGGAATGAACATTAAAGAAAGACGTTTATTGTAATCTAATTTCTATTTTTATTAATAAAATAGAATGCTGTACAGGCAGTACATGATCGACTTGGAGGTGGAAATGATACAAATATTGAACCAACAATACCTAAACATTCAACAACAACATCATCTCATCGTTCAACAACTACAAAACAATCACCAGTAGTGAAAAAACCGAATCATATTAGTAACAATCATAAACGTTATTCAGATTCGGATGATAATAATGATTCAGATGAACCACGTATTATTAGAAGTTTGCCAGGTGGTCCAAGAACAAGCAAAGGAACAAGTGGAGCGACAAATCGAGGACCAGGTTTGATATATACAGTAGACGATATACGTCTCTACCCTACCAAATCTTCGCTAACATACATAGAGAAGATCTAAAAATCAGTGTACATGTACTACCTGAAGAATGTAGGTCCAAGACATGAATTCACCCCAATAGTTACAATGCAACAGAGATAATGATGATCGAGGCCACTTTTTACTGCAAACGTTTTAACCTAAAAAAGCTGTCTAGTAAATTTTGCATTAATTTTTCATCAAACACCTCGATAATGCTTGATCATGTTATGTGTAACTGAAACTCACTATATGGTCTTTCTCCACTTAAAAGATCATTTAATTTGCTCGAAAATTGCTGTCGCTGGATGTTTCTGAGTCTTTAGCACTGACATGATGATTATTTTCATGTCATTTCTCCGTAGAAGAAGGTTATTTTCTGAGAATTGTAGGCAATAATATTTAACTACAAGCAAAGCTTTTCTTAAGATTTCAGATCGATTAATTGAAGAATTACTGAGTCATGGTCTGCCAAGGATGTTACGCAATTTTTTCCCGTCCTCTAGTCAATATAAGATGGTCACAATTCTAAAATGGATTTATGTTTTTCGTTGAAATTAACGGCGTAGATAGATAGAGTATAGCCCTAAGTAACGACGAATCGACTGACCTATAAAAACCCTTTTTTTTAAAGAAATGCTAAGTGCAAAGAGAAAATAAGCGCTATCAATTGCCGTCTATTATTATTCTCATTATATTTAAGCTATTAGGACAAGATTCTAGCTCTGATCTACAGTTTTGGTGGTCTGTGTGTGTACTAAGTTTCAGACCTCATGCATGCATTATGGCGAAGATTTAGTAGGATGGAGACTTTTGTCATTTACTGTAGATATATACATTATTTGTATAGAAAAATTTCTAATGAGAAATTAATCGATTATGAAATTGCTGAAAATTATATAAAGCGAATGCTTTATTATTCGCATAATTAAAAGCTAAATCATCAATAAACATTTCTAAAAACTAAAATATTGAACTAATGTCTGAAAATTTCAGAGTAAATGACAAATTATTCATTCATTTTCTTTTTCCTGGTCCTTTCAAGTCGCGATCTAAGTTCATTGAATACTAAGTTTCGTCTGTTTCGATCTTTCGCCGTATGCTACACTTTAGTTCATTCAAGTTATGAACGCTTTTGATAGAATTTCTCGATTTATTTCCATCAGTTGGTTCGTAAACATTCAACTGGTTGTTTTAGATGCAGACATAGCTTCAAGTATTCTATACGGAAGTCATTCATGCGGCATTTTTAAGTCATGTTTCAACCATAGTAGTTATGATCGTTCGATGTGAAAAAGTAGGGCTCGAGTTATAGAGAATCTCGTATGTTCGAATTGCGAATTCTGACTTTAAGTGTTCGACTATCTGTTCTCCGTGAGAATCTCATTTCAGCTACTTGTGTTTAAGATCAAATTTTCTTGGTCATTACCGATTGTTCGTTACCATAAATGTGAGGGTAAGTCACCATGTCAATTCGAGGATTCCGAACTTTATCTTCTGATTCAACTCTAACTTTGTAAAATCTGTATGATAAAACGAACGTAAAACGTCGTTGGTTGCACTCCGAGATACTTGAACTTATTAACGTGATTCAACGGAGCATTCAAATCACAAATTACCAATAATTTATTTCTTGTGGACATTACTCATATATTTCTCTATTCAACTCTATATCAGATCATCATATAAATACAAGACAAATAATATCTGAATACTAAGATCCAATATTCTACGAAATTAGAGATCGTAAATAAACATTCATGATTATTTTATTTTTAGCTCGTGAACTTCGTTTTACAATTGAATATAAGGATCATACAGAATGTATTACAATTTTTGATAGTGAAAGTATTCGTATGTATTTGAGAAAGATTTATCTTACAAATATAATTCAATGCATATATGTGTATTTTTTTAGGTCAATTACAATCAAAAATTGCCGAAAAATTACATGTTCCACCAAATCGACAAAAGTTTACTAATTGGACTTCAAAGCACTATGATGATCAGGTATGAATTGTTTAATAAAAATTATATCGAAAAATATTTTTCTTTGCATGAGAATTTTTTTCTATTAGAAAAAGACAAATAACTATAATTAGAAAATATGTGACTCGATATTTCTCCAAAGATGAGATCTAGACTAGTGGCGCAAAGCATACAGGATCTAGCATGGGCACAGCTCGTCCTTCTACAAACGGGTTAGACTTCACTTGAAAAGAGGTTTAAGTTTTCTGCTACAATTTTTTGTTACGTCACGCATCTAGATATTCCTGAACATTAAAAACATTCCATGTCAGATTATAGGAGTGATTTTTAATTATAAACAATGTTCAATAATCGGTTGTATATTCTATTTTTTGATTATGTCAACACATGTGCAAACAACATATCCAAAGATCTTCTACTGTTTTACTTCTTTTTTTCAATGCGGATAGTTCTCTTGTAAAAATTATGAAAATATTTCTTTGAATATGAAATTGAGTTAAAACACATGTTCTTCAGTTTTAAAGGAACAAATATTTATTTCCCTCAAGTATTTTATTGTTTTATTTCTAATCATTTAATTCAATAAAATAGCCTATATCCTTCTCTCACGAGATCATATTTTTTCATCAATTATTTTCTTGAACATAAATACTTGACATTCATAAAACGTTTTAGACAATCTTAAAGGATCTCAATTTACCTAAAGACAATACTATCCATCTTATAGCAACAGCAACACCAATGACTAATGGAGCTACTCGAACATCATCATCATCAACAACAACTCCAACTACCTCGACGTATGAAAAAAAAAAACTACATCAATAAGAAAATTTGTTTTATTTTTCTTTAAATTTAGTCGAACTTCTCGTCATCCAACAACACCACCAAAAAATTCCTCAACAATAGCAAGTACTTATTTTCCAATAACGGTGCTATATGAAGATAAATCCGGCAAATCAACACCGTATGAACTTGTTTTAAAACCAACCACAACAATAGGCGAAGTTTGTGTTTTTTCATTTTTTTTCTTCTAATTGAAGTAAAACAAAGAAAAAAAAACATATTTCTAATATTTAGATGAAAAAAGAAATTGAACATGTAACTCATTTACCAACTCGACAACAAAATTGGACTGGTTTATTCGGCGCAAAAGATTCAGTAATATTTCTGAATTAAAAAAAAAAATTTAGATCTAATGCAATTTTCTTCTTAGGATCAATTACGTCAAACATCCATTGGCCGTAAAGCTCATCTTATTGTACGTAAAATCGAACCATCATCAAATCAAAGGATACCAATAAATAGACCTGATGTAAAAGTAAATCTGATTAGTTTAGTTTTTTTTTGGAATTTATTATTTTTTTTGTATAATAGAATTCAACATTGATCAAACATGAAAGTGAAGATGAAACTATGGATACTGATCATGTAATTGATTTAGAAAAATTTGATGATGATGCGAATTCTCTACCTCAACTTTCAAATACGACAACTGCTACTAATATCACATCAAATCGAGAATTACTGAGTAAGCTAATTATATGAGATAAAAATACTAAAAATAATATATGTTTTTCTATACAGTTCCTGATCGTTGTACAGACGATATAGTGGGTCTTGAACATTTTTCACGTGTATTTCATGCACGTTTTGGTTCAACTGGTCCAATTCTTTATATTGGTTCATTAGATCAAGCTATTCAAGATTCTCTATTTACGTCTAGAAATGAGGTAAATAATAAATTCTATGGTTTTTAATATATATATATGTCAGCGTTCAATTTAAGATTCGAGTTCAAACTAGTATCGAACACTAAATTTTTATCTCAACTTTTTGTTCGATTCAATTTTGAACTACTGCAAATTCGGATCTTAGATTAGATACTGACATATATTATTTTTCTATCCCTATTTAATTTATAGAGACGTCCATTAGCTATTTATCTTCATAATGATCGATCAGTTTGCGCTAATGTCTTTTGTGCTCAAGTATTAGCTAGTGAAACGACTGTTGAATATTTAGCAAGTAATTATGTTGTATGGGCTTGGGATATAACAACAGATGCCAACCGAACAAGGTATTGAAAACTAACAAAAAAAAAGACATGCTCTTTTTTTTTAAATATTTTATTTATTTTTAGATTATTAGAAACATTTAAACGATGTATAGGTCCTCAATATGCTCAACGCATAGCTGTTATGGAAAAAGATGCATTTCCACTTATACTTATTCTTATACGTTCTCGTGGTTCATTAGAATTAATAAGTGTTATTGAAGGTAAAAGTACACCAAGTGAAGTTTTACTGAATCTTATACAATCACATGATTTATATGAACAACAACGACAACGTGATGTTGAAGAAGAAATATCACGTGAAAAACGTGAAAATCTTAAAAAACAACAAGAAGATGAATATAATCGATCACTTGAAGCTGATTTAGCTAAAGAACGAGCACGAGTAGCTGATGAACGAAGACAAAAAGAAGAACATGATGCTAATGAACGATTAAAACAAAAACAATTAGTAAATATCTCTGTCTTTTTGCTCAATTTCAAAAAAAAAGAAATTAATCTTCTTTCTTTTTTTTTTTTTATTAAAGCAACAACAACAAGAATGCAGAGCTCGTCTACCTGAAGAACCAAGTGAAACAGAAAAAGATATTACTCGATTAAAAATTCGTTTACCAAATAATGAGGGCATTTTAATGAGACGTTTTCGTATTAATGATACTCTTCAAGTATATTTAATTCTTTTAAATATTAATAAAAATTTCTTTATCTAAAATATATTTAGATTCTTTTTGATTATTTAACAAGTCAAGGTCGTATGTTTGGTGATTACAAACTTTTATCAACATATCCAAAACGTGATGTATGTTTTCAATGATGATTTAATATTATTCCATATACATAAATTTCTTTTTTCTTTTATTTAGTTGACACAGCTCAATCGATTAGATACATTTGAACAGTTAAAATTATATCCACAAGAACAACTCATTCTTGAAAATTTATAGTATTTTCATCACAAACCATTGATTGTATTTATACGTATACATACATATTCAAGGAAGATTTTTCTCATGTTCGAAATTTGAAAAACTGGAAAGATCTTATGTTCGTTCGTGTGTGCATGTGTATCATATTCCTGTTTAAAATCAAGTTTTTCTTTTTTTTTTTTGTTTCTTTTCCAACACTATTGATTCTTCTCATTAAGCCTTCTGTTTCTTTGAAACAATGACATTTTTTCTACATGCATATCAATGAAAATTTTCTTTTTTTTTAATGAAAAGTCACGACTTTATAACCCATAGACTTTGATTCCATCAAAAAAAAAATGGAATTCAACTGTAATGATGAATATTAATGATTTTGATGAGTCATAGGTTTCATTGATTAAGATATTTTTCTTGTAAGCAAAAGCAAAAGTTAAATAAAAAATAAAAATGAAGTATGTTACAAATTTTTCTTTTAAATATCAAATCTTATTTGTTTGGTTTAACTAAAAAGAGCTTTCTTGTTGAATGCCATTCGTTCATTATTTCAATTTGACAGCACACACAAATCATTCTTTATGCTATGTGTAATATGGGTTGCAGCGAATCAGTGCCAAAAGTAAGTTCTCTCAAGATCACATCTCTATGTGATGTGGTCAACACTGTAGAGGCCTGCAGGGTACGCATTTTTTACAACCTGTGACCTGCCCTGTAAAAATTTTCTTAATCTAGCTCTATCCTGCAGAAAATTTCTTGGATATTTAAATAAAAGATTCTTTCCTGAGAAGTTCAGTTGTCCTGTAATCAGTACCAGAGAAGATTAACTACGTAGAAGAGCATAAGATATTATGAAACTGCTGGATGAAGATCTTATATGAAGTGAACAGATGCTTATTTAGGGTACAAAAATCTAACAAAAACGATATTTACTCCAGAAAAACCTGTGGGCTTGGCTACTTTTCTTTTTCAGGTAGTAGATGTTTTAGTAGAGAGCTTCTACTACATAGAAAATCCTGATATTCTTATTGCACGATTATGGCCAATGCAAGTATAAATCACAGTAATGTGCAGGGTCTCTTCAATACGGATCTATCAATATTGGAAACACCGAAGAGTAGTCCACGGAATGCTCAACTTGAGAAAAGTGCAGTATTTGAGTAAAAAAGCGGAGAGAAATTCAGAATACATGCTAATGATGTATGCTGGAATGACATATATGAAAGAGAAATAAAACATCACTGCCGCTCATAATGAAGAAATCTGTAAATGATTTAATCTAGCACAAAATCATTACTATGAGTCGTTAGAATTTTTCAAGTATTGTAGCGGCTGTATTTCTATCGCAGGTTGACAGGTTATGGCCCCGATAACCTGCAGTCTTCCCTGCAAAGAATCGTGTAACATTATCCTGCCCTGTCAGGGCAAGGAAGGTTATTTATACCCTGCAGGGCTCTAGTCAACACAGATAACGTGTAGAACGGTGGTGATTAACAGTTATTCTCTCTACTTTGATAGTGTTACGAAGGTATATTTTTAGAGAATATTTCTTGAGTTGACAATCTTTGCATGAGAACTCTGGAAACTATCTGTCTGTGACCAACTGCATCTACTGCACCGTAATTAACTACATCGAAGCTGACTTATCAAACGAACAGAGAAGAATTTTTAATTGAATAACTCATATTTGAGTGTGCCAGACAGGTGTAGACGTGACTGTGGATGGGTGAAGTGTAGATTTAGGTGTAGAGAAGATCCACACTCACACTCGAGTGATGTAAATTTTTTTTTTCAACAAATTCATACATGATTAAACTAAGAAATTTTCAAAAACTTTGAATCAATAAATGACTTAAGACTTGACACAACTTGTGTCAACAAGTAGCTGACTAGCCTCAATCTTTGATTTCCAACCACTTTTGCAATGTATGCTTGTGAAGAGCATGATCGACGATAATGAAATATATGAATAGACCACAGTTATCCTCCTAAGATAGTAGCACTACCGTCATCTGCTACTAACAGAAAATCAGACACTATTGTAGAATCTAATTGTTTCACATATTCAGATAAAATTGTTCAAAACTTTCTTTTGATTTGGTTTGATGAAAAAGTCGACGAATCCAGCGAGAACTACCGTAAGTCAATCGAACAACTACGACAGACTGTTAATACCACTTTAATATTCAGTGACACGAATGAATTTATCAATTATATATTGAAACTGAAACTTCAACACGAAACGATATTCCTTATTATTTCCGATTCTCTATGTGAAACTATTGTACCACGTATTCATCACACGGCTCAACTCTTTTCAATTTATTTCTTTTGTCTGAAACAATCAAAGTGCGGAGAATGGGCGAAAGGCTGATCCAAAATAAATTGTATTTTCACTGAAATGACTCCGATTTGTAACTCAGTTCGAATATCTGCTTGGCATTGTGATGAAAATTTGGTTATAATTAGTGGTGTTTTGTCGTTCAATCAAATAAAATCATCGTTTATGTATACACAACTCTTCAAAGAAATCATTCTTGAAATTGATTTCGACGAAAAAAAAGCAGGAAATCAGTGATCTAATGAAGTATGCGCATAACACATATATGCCGGCTAGGACTGCCACTTGAAACTTATCGATAAATTCGCTCATGATTATCGACGTAACGTCAACAACAAGCCCATCTGGTGGTACAGTCAGGAATATTTCACTTACCAATTGGTTAGCAAAGCCCTTGACATTCTAGAAGTGAACACTCAGCTGAAAATGGTGTTTTTTTTTTATTCACGACCTTTATCAAAACGTCGAGAAACTTCATATCTAGCAATTGAATGACAAGCATGGAGCACAATCATTTACAGTCATCCGAGGCAAAACCATGATTAAGCTAAAATTTGAAAGTGAAATTAAAAAAGGTGGACTTCTATCGTTCAATAATTTTTTGCCAATCAGCATCGACTGAAAAGTTGCTACTCACTTCATTTCGACTCTTTTTCGCGTTCAGCATATAATTAAAAGAAACCGAAGAAAACAGAATGACATTGTGGCAAGTGAAACTTACACTCACCACTAACAGTGATGAGCAGCAGTTCAATGCTCTTACCAAACGAATGCGAAAAGATATCACTAAAACAGGGTAGCAACGAATGGATTACCTGCTATGAAAACAGGTTGAATACGACAAGGTTAAACAAATTTACACGATGTTACTCGAACAGGCATCCCAAGAAAGCAATAAAGGGTATTGTTATAACCAACTTGGATTAATCAAAGATGATCAAGGAGAATACAAAAAGTTCGTTGAGTTTTACGAAAAATCACTTAGTATCATGAAGAAAACGCTCTCTGCAGATCATACTAACTTGGTTGCTTCCTACAACAACATCGGAGAGGTATAAAAAAAGGATAGGAGAGTACTTGCTAGCACTTTGATTTTATGAACAAGTTCTTGATATCAGGCAAAAGACTCTCCCTTCGCACTATCATGATTTAGCTAATTCATACAATAACATCGGCGTGGAGAATAATGACGTGGGCAACTACTTGAAAGCACTTTCATTTCTGAAAAAAGCACTCGATATCTGTAAAAAAATTTTCCCTCGACGCATCCTCATATTATCATATGCAAAAGAAACATTCAACTTGTGAAACAGAAAATGTAATTGATTTTCTTTTGCTACAACAAATAAATTTCGTTCAAGATTTGCTTATATTGATTACATATTATTTCTTCTTTAATGATATTTGTTTTCATCCACGCTCGCGCGACCAGAAAGACCCACGGGTCCTGTTGGGACAGTATGGTGGATGATGCCGACCATGGTCAGGCAACAATACAAGTATATCGTACTTACCAGACTAGCACGATAAGAAGGAGATACGCGAGTGTCAAAGACCTCTCCATGCACTCTTCAACGTACTAAACTTACGTTGAATCTTTTTGGTAGATCTAAAAGAATAGGAGAGCAAAAAAGCGCAGCGCAAGAGCGACTGACGATAAGTGATAATATTGTCGAATGAAAAATATCATTAAAATCAGTCATATTTGCTCCTTTCTATCCTCACACATTAGATATTAGTAATAAAAGTTGAGATTTATTCAAGTTCCCAACGTCTTTTCTCTCGGTTACGTCCGTTACAGTAAAAGAAATATGAATCATCATAAAAAAAAGAGAGAAAAGGGAAAAAGAAACACATAAGCGACCAATAAATGTTTATTTTTAGCGTGCATGCAAAGATAAAATACAATACAATATGAACGATTGTATGAGAAATTGTTTAGACAAAAAAAATTAATAGTTTGTCAATATTGTTTTGTAGAGCAGAAATTGCAAACGAACTGAACCCGAACTGTTTCTAAGAAATGAAAGATTAGCTGAACCAAACTCGAAGCAGCAAAACTCAGTTTGATTCAGTTTTTGTTGTAGATAAATTTAATTTTTCATTTGAAGATTTGCTGAAGAAGGAAAGAAAGAATTCAACAATTTTCATGATATTATCAGTCTCTATTGAATAGTCAATCTTTTAAATTGACGTGCAATAAACTCATTAGAAATATTTTCTAATACATTCACTAACAATTTAGATTTGTTATCTTTATCGTTATTCCATTTTTGAATACTCCAACAGGTATTATTACTTACCTTTTTCTACTCGAAAAAATGTTATCATTTTTAGCATCTTCATTATCTGTCGAACATTATTATATTTCATTATAACGGTTTCTTTTATAAATGGCTGTTGAACTATTTTCACATGTTAACATTCAGCATTGTTATTTCAATAGCATCATTAATATAAAATTTTGAAATCAAACTTAAATATCCATCAATTCAATATTTTTATGCGAAAATACTTTTACTGAATTATAATCAGCTTTTGGTAGCTTAACAATTTTTTTTAAAACTTCTTTCAAGTAATTGCAACAATTATATAAATTTAGTTTATTGATTCAATTAGATGGTCCATTGATTCTCAATATATTGATACAGTATAACCTCCGTATAGCGGATATTCAATGAAC